TCAGTCAGTGGAGGCTTGCATCTTGCAGTGATGCTCAACAGGTTTCATTGGAGCTTCCAGACTAAGAGGAATTAAGAAGAAAGGCCTGGTGATCTACTTCCAAAAATAGGGCCAATGTGAAAACCTTATGGATCACAAACGTCCAACCCTGTTGTGCATGGGGTCGCCATGACTCGCTGACTCAGCAACAGCTAACAAGCTCCTTTAAGTCAAATATGCCAGAAGCTCCTTCTAACCAGCTTGAAGAGCCTTAGGTCACAAACTGACAGCACAGAATCAAAAAATGGACCTGGGTCCTTGGAGACTTTGAACCACTGATTTTTACCAGCCTGTGTGGCTTGTCAGAATAATTCCTGAATTATGTAAGCCATTTTTAGTTGAATTTTCTGTTTTTGTTATTTATTTTTAATCAAGAAAAAGCATAATCATTCCAAATATATAACTAATGTAGAAGTAGGCCCTGTAATCTTGTCACAGCAATCAAAGTAATAAATAAACATTTTTCATTAGCTTTGAAATATTTCAGACCGACAAAGAAAAATGTATTAATGGGAGTTCGTTATGGATTAAATTGCATCCCCCAAAAATATGTGTTGTAAATCCTAACCTCTAGGGCCCTGGTGGTGCAGTGGTTAAGCAAAAGGTCAGCAGTTAGAATCCACCATCTGTTCCTTGGAGACCCTGTGGGGATTTCCACTCTCCCTACAGGGTTGCTATGAGTCGGAATTGACTCAACGGCAAAGGGTTTTTTTTTTTTTTTGTGGTTATAATCCCATTTGGGAACGGGTTGTCTTTGTTTTGTTAAGGAGGCAGGATTAATGTAGGGTATATCTTGAGTCAATCTCTTTTGAGGTATAAAAGAGATTAAACAAGCCAGCGAAGAGAGAAATGGGGTGAGATAGACCCAAGACACATGGTGATCTCCAAGGAACCAGGAAGCAGAAGCTGAAGAGACAAGGACCTTCCTCCAGAGCCAACACAGACAGAAAGCCTTCCCCTGGAGCTGGCACCCTGAATTCAGACTTCTAGCCTCCTAGACTGAAGAGAATAAATTTCTGTTTGTTAAAGCCATCCACTTGTGGCATTTCTGTTATAGCAGCACTAGATAATTAAGATAGGCTTCTACCAAACTGTGATAGCATGATGAACTGCCCTTCTGTGTGCCAGGGATACTGAAGAACTCAGAGTCTTAATCAAGGCTCTCAACTTCCTGCCAGGCAGTCAGTCCAGGAGACACGCTGGCAAATTCTTCATCAGGTCCTTTCACGTTTTTTAACTTTGTGCTGATCAGATTTCTCCTTGTATTTGTCACGGCAAAAATCAGCGGCCTCATTTCCAGCACACTCTTTGGACGTGTTATAATTTCTACGATTTCAGATCATCTCGCATTAGTCGTATTTTAGCCTGGGAGGCCTCGTTCAGGCAGGGCCCTCGTGAGCCTCATTTGGAGAGGGAAGGTACTGGCAGAGAAGCCAAAGCCACTGCTGACAGGAGCTTTTGGGGGCACAGAAAGTTAAGGGGCAGTGTGTAGTTAGTTGAAGGTCCCAGGATGGTGCAAATGATTTTCGTTCAACTACTAACTCAAGGTTGGCAGTTTAACCCACCCAGCTGTGCCATGGAAGAAAGGCCTGGCAATCTGCTTCTGTAAAGATCATAGGCAAGAAAATCCTATGGAGCAGTTGTACTCTGTAACACATGGGGTCGTCAGGAGTTGCAATCAACTTGACGGCAACGGGTTTTTTTTTTTTTTTTTGTATAATTAGTCTTCACAAGGAAGAGGAAAAAGGGGAAGAAGTGGATTATTGCAGTGGCCTCATAACTGGCATCTCTGTTTCCACTTGGTCCTTGTGAAATCTGTTCTCAGCACAGCAGAGAGACCTTGTTTTTGTCAATCTTCCACTCAAATCCCTCCAGATGGTTCCCATCTCATTCAGAGTACAAGTACAACTCCTGACAGTGGCCAAAGGCTGTGCATGATCTAGCATTACCTTCCTAATGTAACCTCCTACCACGCTCCTCACCACCACTCTGTTCCAGACCCAGTGTCCTCCTTGCTGTTCCCCTGCCTAACACATCGGGCAAGACATGACCACAGGGCCTTTGCACATGCTGACCCCTCTGCACGGAGCTGCTTCTCCCAAATATTTGCTTGGCTTGCTCCCTCAACTCTTTTAAGTCTTCGTTCAAATTTCACGACCCTGAGGTTTCCTCTCCCAAATCAGCACCTTATCCTCCTTCACAGCCTTATTTTTTCCAAGGTGCTTATCAGGTTTCTTCTCTCTCTGTGTTTCTTTCGTTAGTTAGTTAGCTGTATGAAGTTAGCGATTCTTGTCTTTGTTCATAGCTCTATTCCCAGCACCCAAGAACTTAAAAAATGCTCCAAAAAATGTGGGTTCCACGAATACAATGACTTGAAATCTTGAACCAGCAGAACCATGACTATGTCGCAGGGTGAAGTTTGGATTTGAGGTTGAACATCCCAGAGTGCATTAAAAAATATCTTCTACTTACTTTGGTGTGAACCCTGGTTACATTAAATTATGACTAATTTCAATCGCATAGATTCCTATTTATTAAAAACAACTCTTTCTTTAATCTTCTGTTGTATTTATAAAATACAATGGTTAATAGTGTTACTCAGGGTTTCTCAGTCCTGGCACTATTAACATTTGGGGCCAAATAACTCTGTTGTGGGGAGGGTGCTGTGCATTACAGGATGGCTGGCAGCATTTCTGGCCTCCACTCATTAGATAGCAGTGGCATGCCCTCCCCAAAGCTGTGAAACCAGAAATGTCCCCAGAGTGCCAAGTGTTCATTGCTCCTGTTTGAGAACCAGTGATGTAAGTCATTTTCATGCATAGTTATTTGAATAAAAGTTTATATTTCTGCGATAACACGTGTAATTGAGTGGAAAGTGAGGGAGCCTCATGCTTACCTTACCAATCCTATAGGGGAGACCACAGCAGAGCCAGCATTGTTCCACTGGTAACAACAGGTTACCTTTGTAGATGTTAAGATAAAGTTTAAGGAAAAAAAAGGACAACCCCTTGTTAAATGGCCAGGAAACTCCACCCTATGGAGAGATAATAAATGCTGAGAAATCCCTGTCAATAAAGGACCTGGAAACAATAATCATAATGAAATGGTAACTGGAATCCTTCCATAATTTCCACACAGGAAATCAGATTAAAACAAACATGGCTGGCCTCACTGGGAAAATGGACTTACAAAAGGGGAATGGGCAAGCTGAAGACCGTGTGTAGAGGGAGACGGGGGCTCCTTTCTCTTTCATTTGAAGACAATGTGGGGTGTGTGTATGAAAAATCTGGTTATGGGGACAGACTGGAGGCATGTGAGTGAATTTCTGACTCCTCTCCTTTAAAGGAGTCCCTTAGTGGTGCAAAGAGCTAATGCACTCTGCTGCTAACTGAAAGGTTGGAGGTTCAAGTCCACTCAGAGACACCTCAGAAGAAAGGCCTGGTGATCTACTTCTGAAAGACCACAGCCATCAGAAACCCTATGGAGCACAGTTCTACTATGACACCCGTGGGGATGCTGTGAGTCCGAGTTCACTCGACGGAAGCTGTTTTTTTCTCTCTCCTTAGAAAAATAAATTCATTCATTCATTCAGAGCTCTACCTGTAAAGCCACCTCTTCGTCCCCAGCCAGCTCCTTCATGAGACATTTGTCCAGGTATTCGTCAGCGTGAAGCCCAGAGTCCCTAAAAACTACTTGCCACAGAACAATCCTTCTAATTTTGGGACTTCGGGATGGTTCTAAGTGTCAATGTTAAGAGCGATGGAAAGTGGTTAATGAGTATGTGTCAAGTTGAGTGGAGGGAATGCAGGGTCAGAAGTATGAGGAAGGGAAGTATATTTACAGCCACGCTTGGGGTGAACACCATCAGATGACAAACTGAGAGGACGCGAAGAGACCAAGACAAGGAGCAACAGCCCATGAGGGGCAGAAAAACTGCCCTTTTTATATTTGGAGGTAAATTCGTCTTATACTTCTTAATCATTCTGCACACTGCTTTTATATCCTCTAGATCATAACTATTCATCTGTATGTGACAGAAACACACCGAAGCATCTTTCCTCAAGTGCATGAAATGGCAATTCCCAAAAGCCACGAAGCCCAGCATCTGCGTTTTACAAACCCCAGAGTTGCAGCTCCATTGCGTAGTCCCCTACAGTTTTGGGTGTCAAAGGCATGTCGCTGAATAGGTCACTAAAAGCACCAAGGAAACCCATAACAGAAAGAGCCGCCTAAAGGGATGTGGCACTTAATTGGGAACTTTCAGACATCTGTCACTCTCTGTGACAAGCGCAGAAGCGTACTTTGCACATTTGTGACATTCTTGTGGGATAAGACTGACAGCTAAGTAAGCTGGGCTGGTGGAGGAAGGGAGCTGGGGGCGAGGAGAAGTGGGAGGCTGGGATGAAGACTGTTCGTTTTCACCTCCAATATCGTCTTTAGAAAAATTATCTGAGGTCAGAATTGTTAACTTGAAATGCCGTCCACTTTCCACTTCAGGTCTCCTCCTCGCTAAACTGGGGCGTGCACATGCGCTCCTGTAAGGAAGAGAAGATGCATTAAGTTTGGGAGAGACATCTGGTGTTCGGTCTCTTTGCTAAAAAAAAAAAACACAAAAAACCCAAGATGCATAAAGTTTGGGAAAGACATCGTGTGTTCCACCTCTTTGCTAAAAAAAATAAAATAAGACAAAGCCAGGTTCCATCTCAGGGCCTCTCGCTCCGAGTGCGCGCGCGAGCTCCCACGGGGGGCCTGCCCTGGAGGCTCCGGAGGGAACGAGCGCCCCAATCAGCGCGCGGCCCCCGCCCCCGCCCCCGCCCCCGGCTCCGCGCCTCGGCTCCTTCCCGCCCCGCGCAGGCTGGCTCCGTCCCCGCCTTGCAGCCCGCAGCCGGCCCGGCGGTCCCCGAGCAGAGGCGTGCGCCCAGGTGCGGAGAGAGCGAGCAGGGGACGCGCGGGGAGGCCACCGCGAGGAGGGCGCGCGGCGGAGCGGCAGCAGCGAGCACCCGGGCTCCGAGTGGACTCCGCGCCCTCGTCACCAAGGCAGCTCGGCGCACAGGGGACCTTTGCAACTCCGAGTAAGTGCAGGGCTGGCGCGCTGCGCCCAGGTGTGTCCATCGGGTCCCCTGCTCCTGCCTCCACCTGACTGGGTGCACCGAGTGTGGTGTGGGCGTGGGAGAAGGGCTGCCTGGGGCCTTTCTGAAGCATATCTGGGAGAGTCGGTGCGGAGAGTTCGGGTGCACCGAGATGAGGGGAGAGAAGGAAGCTTTTGTTCTAGGAGAGTACGTTCGGGCAGCGTCCCTGCCTGCGGCTGGAGACCACGCCGGGCGGGACGGAGGGATGTCTGGCTCTTTGTGAAACCTGGGGCTGGTGGAGGTGTGTCTGAGGCTGGTGGAGGAGAGAGAGAAGCCGGGCTGAGCCAGCAGGGCTCCTTCTTTCTTGGCCTCTCTGATGGCTCCAGGGCCTGCCAGTTGATGGCTCAGGGCGGGTTTCTAGGTGAGGTGGGGGGGGGGGGCTCCTTGCTCCCAGGGCTCTCCCACCCCCGGCAGCTGGCACTCCTTGCCCTGCTCGCCAGCCCAGGAAGGTGCTAGAATTGGTTAACTTCAGACTTGCAAAGAGACCCTCCGAATCCCATCTCTCATTTGAAAGCCAATTTTAATAACTGCCCTGCACAAGCGCTGGAACTTTTTATTCCACCCACGTGGAGCTAGGAGATGTTTATTACTAATTAGCCAGATACAGCTTCTATTCGGATTGCGCCCATTTTCTATTCGAATTGATGTTTCTAGTAAGTGAACAAAATATTTTTTTTTAAGAGAGGAAGGTATTCAACTCCTTCCCTACTTAATACACAGCACAGAAAACTCCCTCTCACCTTAACTCTCTCTCTCTCTCACACACACACACAGACTTTTCTCCTAACTCAAACACATACACACATGCAGTTTATATATACGTTCTAGTGTTCAGCCTCCCCCCCCCCCCAACAGCTGCTTTGTAAATATGGGGATACATTGAGAAAATATGCGTGGGGGAGGGAGTGAAAGGGGAAAATGCCCAAAGTGAGGGAATATTAGAGTTCTAGTCTTCTAGTGGAGGTCTGGTGGTTAAGTGTTCGGCTGCTAACCAAAAGGTCGGCAGTTCGAATCCACCAGGCACTTCTTGGAAACCCTATGGGGCAATTCTTCTCTGTCCCATATGAGTCGGAATCCTCTCGACCGCAACGGGTTTGAGTTTTTTTGGTTAATCTTCTAGCATCTCTCATCTGAACGGTTCTCTGGGCATTTTGCATTAGCAGCTTGAGAAAGGTGGGTGGGGTGTGTATGTGTGTGTGTGTGTGTGTGTCCAGAGGAGATTGAAGAACTGCCAAGGAGAGCTTTTGAACTAATGAACATAATGAAGCAATTCATGATCCCAGGCAAACATGGAATTGATGAAACGGCAGAACCCACTTTATAGCCCCTGATCATCTGAGGATGAAAATTCATATTAAGTTATGAATTGATATTGATTTTGGTAGAAATATTAAACAGTGACTATAGTGAAATGAAAGAGAAGCCTCCTGGGCATAGAGCATAAAGCTTTTATTTCCAGTCTTCAGTATGTTCCTGTTTAAGAAAAATGCATTTGGAAGACCACATCCGTACAAACATTTATAGTCTAGTTAAATTCAGAGGAAAATAGAGCTGGCATGATCTTTTTTTCCCCTGCCTTTGGGAGGTATGTTTTCTCAGAGTAGCAATATCTATACTTTCACATTTAAATTAGAGGACGAGATACTTCGTAACTTTATTAGGAAGAACAAAAATCAAACCAAAACAGGACAAAACCCAACTAATGCCGTTCTTCTCGAAATGTTTGATCTTTGAATTCTCTAATTGTATTAACCTTGAGAAAGCTACCCTTGCCCTTCACTGCTCACAGACCCCATTCTAGAACATTCTTTCTCATTTAGTGAAAGGCCTTTACATGGAATATCCACCTGAAGCCATACATAACCACATTGGTTGCTGTGTTCCGGCTGTTTGCTTGTGGATACAAATGCATCATTTTCTAGAAGCTAGACCTGTAGAAAGAAATGAAACCACTGTTATTGTATGAGTTTTTATTAACTGACTTTAAAATGAGGTGTTATAGAGATGAGGATAATATAAATTCTGTGATTTCTTAGCTCTCTTTCCATGCAACTTGGAATTACTAATTTATTGAAAGTTTCCGTGTTCTTTGTTTGGTGTTCACATGTAACAACATGTGAGCAGTACTCACGTACATTTTTTTAAATGGGGCATTTTTATTCCACAATGCCAATGGCTTGGTTTGAATTTTCACAAAACCTGATCATTGGAAATACCTGCAAGAAATAAGGTCTGCAAATACTTTGATCACTTTCATCAATAAAAAAAATCTTAGAAATTAAATATTTTAAAAATTAAAATGCTTTTCCTCTTTGATGATGCTCTTGTCCTCTCCTTTAATTGACATTGTCACATGAATTCACATTGTATTCCTATTTTTGATGTTCTGTCCCTAATCAAATTTTTCCTAGAAAGCTGAATGTAGCTTCAAAATGGTGTAATAAATTAACAGTCCGTTGAGGGTCAGAATTCAGACTATAAATTCCAGGTCTCTACACACTTGTTGTGAGGTGCCATCTAGTGGACCAAGCCACCCCATATGACAGAGTACAACTGCCCCATGGGGTTTTCTAGGCAGCAGAGGGCCAGGTCTTTTCTCTTGTGGAGCAGCTGGGTGGGTTTGAACCACCGACCTTTCGGTTAGCAGCCGAGCGCTTAACCATTGTGTTAAACACTTCCTACCAAGCTCCTGTCTACACACTGAGGCTTCTTGCTTCTTAAAATGATGGCATGATGATAAAGGGAGTTGCCTTTGACTTCTCTCCTGAAGGTAGTGTCCACATTGAGACCAGCCTAGGTGATTGAAGACAAATGGACTCTACTTCTGGATGGCCAGAGTGCAAAAAAAACAAAAAACAAACCCAAACCCGTTGCTGTTGAGTCTGTTCGGACTCATAGTTACCTTGTAGGACAGAGTAGAACTGCCTCATATATAGGTTTGCCTGGGGGGTGGGGCAGCCCTTTAAGGGTGAGGGATAATTTCTCCCCAGGCTGCTGCTTTAGTGAGTAATCAGAGGAGATTTGAGCTTTGGTTTCCTGTTGGCCCAAGGTCACGCCGTTGCCCTGGGGTAAAATAATATTCACAAATGGACCTTCTTTTCTTTTGAGCCTGACCTGCTTTTTCCCAACCAGAATCAATTGGCTTGAAGGGAATTTGGACCATGGCCTCAGTTTTGAAAGTTGTTCTCCATTCTTGATGCTTATGGCCAATTCAAGCTTGCGCCCACTGGATCATTTTTCCATCCACTTAATGCCAGTCTTGTACGTGGCATGGTTTCCGTGGTGTCATTATAGTCTTTCTAGATGGTAAAATATAGCAAGCTTTTTTTTTTTTCCCCCCAGCAAAGCAAAAGGTCCGCAGTTTCAATCCACCAGCTGCTCCTTGGAAACCTTATGGGGCAGTTTGACTCTGTCGGAGAGGGTCACTATGAGTATGAATCGACTTGATGGCAACAGTTTTTGGTTTATTTAGTATATAATAAATAGAAGTTAAAGACTTTGTGGTTTAAAAGGGTAGCTGCAATGAAACAGTATCAAAGAACATTATAACTATGCAAATACTGGAGGTTTGATTATGTAGATCACATTCGTCACAAATGCCTATTTTTTAAGGGGTCGGCAAAGAATATAGTGACTAGATGGTGCTTCAGATAATCTGAGAAATACATTTTAATTTCATCTGCTGGGCTTTAGTTTTTGAGCCATTTCTTCACAGTGGGTTTAAAATGACATTTCAAATAAAATCAAAAAGATCATCAGGATGTGTTTCCTAAAAACAGACTTCTTAGATTCCTAAACTTCACATGTTAAAAAAAAAAAAGAAAAATTCTTTGCCAAATTATATTAATCTTGAAAGAAGTGAGTCCTCGTAATTGACACTTGGGCTCATAATTCTAAGAATTGCTCTTAAGAAGCACCTAAAACATCGTTTTAAAACACTAGTAGCATGTTGCGCCTCGAACCTTTTACTCCCTCTTCTTCCAACTTTTGTGCTTATCTAATTTCCCCGTCCTCTGGCTCTTATTTCTTATTTAATCCTTTTGTTAATCCATTTGCCATTATTTCCCGTCCAACAAATCCCCATGGGCTCTTGATGTGATGGTCTGTATCCATTTATGTACACACATATCAGAAATGTTTGCCCATATCTTGGAATGCATGGATGGTTGGATCTGGCAAGCTGAGATTTTGGCATTTGTCTGACCTGGTCTACCCAAACCTGTTTTTAGGGCCAATGCACTCTCAATCGACTCTACTAGATTTTTCCCTTTTTGACCTAGTTCCTGACTAAGGGCAGCTGATGCTTTCATCACTGCAGGAAATATTGACATCATTCTTTTCTCAGTGACTCAACTTGAATATAGGGTGTAACCAGGGTTATTCATGTCTATCACACCCGCCCAAGTACCACCCCAGCAATACAGTTTTTCTAGCTGCTATGGCCAGTCGATTGAACAGCACTTATTGTACATCTCCAGATGCCAAATAGTGGGCTGGACACCATAGCATATTTCAGGAATACAACACAGAGTTTCTTTTCTCTAGTGGCTCAATCTTACAATTTCAAACACTTTGCGTTCAGTAGGTGGTACTAACTTGGGAAATCTTTTATTCCAATATTCATTTAAAACAGATTCCACACAGTTAAAATCCATTCTACCTCCGCCAGTTTCTGGAAAGAACACTTTAAAAGTCCCAGGTCACTTCATCAAAACGACTAAGAGTTCTGTTTTTAGGAAACTCATTCTGATGATCTTTTTTGTTAATTTGAAATGTCACTTTAAACCTGCATGAAGAAATGGCTCAAGAAGTAAAGCCCAGTAGAAGAAATTAAAATGTATTTCTCAAATTATTTGAAGCACCATCTATTCACTGTATTCCTTGCCTTGCCCTTAAAAAAGAAGGATTTGCGATGAATGGCATCTACATACTCAAACCCACAA